TAAGAAGTAGGGCACACTTTCTAATAATGTACCTAACCTCTCATGAGAGCCAGTTCAGCATCGAGAGTCCCCTGCTCATTGTTCTGGGTGCCAATCTTGGCCTTGTGGCTGCTAAATATGGCTTGTTGGGGCTAAAGCGCCAATAGTACGTAGGTCATTTGGTTGCTAACGGTAGGGTGGGGGAAGACAAAGGGTAGTATGGGAGATTGTGGGTATCTCGTGTTTGTGGAAGGCATGGCCCTGCATCATACCTGCACCCACGACTGGCCTCAGACTGACATGAGGCTGACATGAGACTGACCAGAAACTGACCAAAAGACTGACCCGTGTTTGACCTTAGACTGACCTGAATTTGACCTTATTTGACCTAAGACCAACCTGAAACTGATACGAGACTGACCTGAAATTGACCTGAAATTGACCTGAGTTTGACCTGAGAGTGACCTGAAAGTGACCTGAGAGTGGCATGAAAGTGATATGAGACTCTCATTATGAGAGTTTCTAGAGCGATCTGAGTGTGACCTGAAAGTGACCTACGACTGACACAAAACCTTCTCCCCCCATGTACTTGACTGGCGAAGCTAAAGAAGGCATTGAACACAAAGGGCGTGCTACACGGGCCAGGGTTGTTGATGAAAAGGAAGAGGCAGATGGGCGCTGCACTGTGCTGCTCCTGACGTGTTGCTGGTGGGGGGCGTGAGGATGATGGTGCCATTGAATGGTTGCGCTGCTGCACCTGCCAGGGAGACTGCTGTTGTCTGTGATGATTTGGTTGAAGGGAGAATTGCAGGGTTATCCAGAGCGAGGCAAGGCAGATGGGTGCAAACGGAACTGAAGAAATATGCTTGGATGTAAATAAATCAACACCAGGAGTTCGAGAGGTTTCAACTGCGATGCAGCTGTAATGGTAACAATTACGAGGAATAAGCAGGGTATGCAACGCAATCAAAGAGCACAACAAGAGAGTGCCATCTGCTTCTTACACCAGATCACTTAGTCTCTCCCAAAACTTGTGTATACACACCCCTGTAGGAGCACGAGGGCAGTCCGGCCTGGTTGTCGAAGTTGCTATCGCAGGTGTATACTGATTCCTGCACAAACTCACTGAAGAACCACATGCCATGCCCACTGCACAGGGGTTGGCAATCCCCAGCAGAAACCCCACAGAACGCACCACACTCCTCCGCTCCAAGTAGTCTCCAGGCGCCCGGGATGCGTTGAGCAGACAATGCTCGAAGGCGTTGCCAAGGTAGGTGTGGATGGCCTCGGGCGAGAGATGGTCCCGTGGAAGAAGAAGTTGCAGTGGGTGTAGGGTAGGTAGGGCGGGAACTGGTTGGCTGCAGGTAGGGCGACAGGGGCAATGGCAGTCACCCTGTCACTGGTTGGCTGACATGTCACTGTAAAGAAGGGGGGGCGAGGGCAGGGAGAGCCAAGGCAAGGAGTGAGTGGGAAAATGGCACATGAGCAGGGGTGTGACAAGAGTGGGTGAGAAGTGAACACGCACAGGGTGGTGCAGACGAAAGATGCAGTGTTCTGTTGGAAGAATGTGTTTGATGCTGGTCAGCAATTACCAGCGCGCAAGCAGATCAGCCTTGAACATACAGATAAACCATCGGACCAAAGGAAGGGGCTTGGTGTAAACCATCGGACCAAAGGAAGGGGCTTGGAGTAAACCATCGGACCAAAGGAAGGGGCTTGGTGTAAACCATCGGACCAAAGGAAGGGGCTTGGTGTAAACCATCGGACCAAAGGAAGGGGCTTGGTGTAAACCATCGGACCAAAGGAAGGGGCTTGGTGTAAACCATCGGACCAAAGGAAGGGGCTTGGTGTAAACCATCGGACCAAAGGAAGGGGCTTGGTGTAAACCATCGGACCAAAGGAAGGGGCTTGGTGTAAACCATCGGACCAAAGGAAGGGGCTTGGTGTAAACCATCGGACCAAAGGAAGGGGCTTGGTGTAAACCATCGGACCAAAGGAAGGGGCTTGGTGTAAACCATCGGACCAAAGGAAGGGGCTTGGTGTAAACCATCGGACCAAAGGAAGGGGCTTGGTGTAAACCATCGGACCAAAGGAAGGGGCTTGGTGTAAACCATCGGACCAAAGGAAGGGGCTTGGTGTAAACCATCGGACCAAAGGAAGGGGCTTGGTGTAAACCATCGGACCAAAGGAAGGGGCTTGGAGTAAACCATCGGACCAAAGGAAGGGGCTTGGTGTAAACCATCGGACCAAAGGAAGGGGCTTGGTGTAAACCATCGGACCAAAGGAAGGGGCTTGATGTAAACCATCGGACCAAAGGAAGGGGCTTGGTGTAACAAGCATTTTCAGTCCTATCAGTAGTCCTCCCTCCCAATCCAATGCTCTGTTAGAATGGGCTCTTTCAAGGTAAGTAACAAATGGCACATGGCCCATTGGCACATGGGACCTGGGACATGGCAAATAGCACATGGTGCATGCCATATGCGATTCCCCCCATGCACGTGCAGCGTGACAAGGCTGGTTATATTACGTGTGATGCCGTACACATCGCCAGAGAGGACGTTCCTGTTCAGGTAGCTGGAAGAAAGCACATCCGAAGACAACTCGTGAACGCGGCGTGCATGGCATGGCAGCACTTGGACTCCCATCCAGCAGGGTTGAGTGCGCTTCCTAAGGCCCTCAGCGGAGGTAGCATGGAGTGCTGTTGTTGCATGCAGTTGCGTTGCATACAAGCCTGATTTCAGCTACATGTCAAGGTTGGTAACTTGGATAAGTGTGATTGGACCAGACGCCAAGGGACACTGGATACAACAGCAAGCAGCCAGGGTGCACACACAAAAAGCCCAAGTTCTGACGGAGAATGATCTGGGGACCGTGCCCCTGAGCCCCACACCCTCCAGCTACCTGAACCCACAGCGTGGAAGACGTCGTGTGCACACGTGATACATCACAGACTATGATGATGGAACGAAAAGGGAGTCCTTGAGTGAACGAGAGAGATAGCATTCTATTGCAGTATGCATATATGTCTTTAAGACGCAATGTCTCAGTACCTTTCTGATGACTCTTGTCCTCAAAGCTACTGACATAGACTGATGCTAATCCAAGGAGACTCGGAATCATACGTGCACAGAAGGTTGCACCGGCAACACACCAGGCAAGCAAGGCAAACACCAAGAGAGAAGCTACAGGGATGGGTTATGGTTGGCGAGATGTCAAGGTGACTCAGGGTTCCAATAGAGGGGCTAGGTTCCACCAATGTTTGACCGTGCCAGCTCCCTGTAAATACATGGCTTGATTAAACACTAGGTTGGGGATAAGAAAGGAGAGCATGATTTCAGCATGCTACACGTGTCTCCAATCGTAATGTGATAGGCCTGACAAGTAGCACGAGCGCTACAAACATCAGAGCGGACAAATGAGAGAGCTACCAGATAGTGGGTTTCGGCGAAATCCATTATCATAAACCACTGCCTCTGTCCTTAGGGCAGTGTCCTTATGAAGCAGGGGCCAAAACACGGGAGTGGAGGTCCGTAGACTAAAATCTCGTTCTGGATCCATACACTATGTTTTGGCTGTACCCTGTGCACACAATGAATCGCTCGCAAGCATAAAAAATTGTCTATGATTGTATGTTGAACCCTAAAGCTATAATGATTGGTGTCAAGCGTCTATTCAAGACATTACTAAGGCTGGAGTACGGTAGGGAAAGAGGAATTTTCGGTGGAGCGGTGATTAGCCCAGAGATTGAAAAGAACACCGCACGCGCTCTCACAACTTGTGATTCATTGTTTCATGAACAGATTCTTGGCCCCATGCAATGACAGAATGAATGGCGTACATACCATACTCATGGTGTCTGCATACATGCTCATGATGACTGCATACATGCTCATGATGACTGCATACATGCTCATGATGACTGCATACATGCTCATGATGACTTCATACATGCTCATGATGACTCCATACATGCTCATGATGACTGCATACATGCTCATGATGACTGCATGCATGCTCATGATGTCTGCATACATGCTCATCAGTGTGGGTAGGGTGGAGACCTAATCAGGAATGGCGCCAGGGAAGTTGTTATTGTGCAGGTCGCTGCATGGCAGAGCACAGGATAGAGACAAATTCTTTTCAGTCGGCTAAAAAGCACAGAGCTTGTAGTCGACTCTGAGGCAGAGCAGGGGAACAGATGCAGTTGCGTCGATCCATTTTAATCAATCTGAGTTCTTTCAAGAGCTCGAGAAACATCCACATGGCCTAGGCGCGTAAGTAATATTGTTGAGGGCTGCAGCGTCACTTTATCAGACTCAAGGGGGCATTGCAACATCGTTATCTTGACAGGAGCGGAGCTTCACTGCCTTGCATGCAGCAAGGCGAGGAGGACAGTCAGAGCATGGCATGGCAAAAGGAGAACCGCATGGCGCTATGAGTGAACAAGTGACATGTGTAGATGCAACAGCAGGGTGGGCGAGGCAATGGGGTGGCTGACAGGATATCGAGGGTGGAGATGGTGCTGAGGGCAGACTGCTGTCCACAGTGAACCCGTTGACCGAAAGGCTCCTGCACATGGTTACAGGGAATGGAATGGACCACTGGCGATGCGTTATGTGCCCCACTGAGTGCTACGGACAACGAGATACACATGCATGGGATAGCCTTGGTAAAAGCAGAACCCAAAATATTCTTGCATGGTGCAGTGCTGAGTGCTAACGCACAAGAATGCATGCATGCACACAACGCCCTGTACATAGTCCGCGCTGCACCACAGCAATCCCCCTCCCTTTTGTTTTTCAATATCTATCTGTTAGAATGTTGCATGTGCTAGTTAATACTACTGTAAGTGATACACCCAATGTGGTACACTTTGGCTCAAGTAGCCCCAACCGATTTTGGTTGACTGCTTCCCAACATTTTTGGACCATGTTTGATGGGGGGATCCCAAATGATGACTGGGCCATCCAATCAATTATTCCCCCCCCCCCCATCCCCCAATGATGTTGGCCAATCATCGCATGGTCAACCTAATTGACCCACCAATGATGGTGTGGGCACTCATCCAATCTGCCCACCGTTTCCTTTCCTATGCTAGCCATACCTCCACCCCCAGACCCCCCACGCTGAGAGTACCACTCACGTAGCTGCTAGGGTGATGGAGTCTCGCTGGGATGCTGCTGCTGCTGCCTCTGGCCACCGCCGAACCCCCCACGCTGCACCGCTCCACCGCGCCCGCCACCAGCTCCACTGCCGCCACCACTGCCACCACAACCCCCACCACCAGCTCCACTGCCGCCACCACTGCCACCACCACCCCAACCACCCCCACCACCGCCGCCGCCACCACCCTCTGCTCCGCCACTAACCCCCCCACCACCAGCACCACTCCCACTAGTGCCACCACCCCTGCCCCCTCCACCCCCTCCACCACCGCCGCCCCCTCCGCCACCTCCGCCCCCCCTGCCCCCCTTGCCCTTGCCGCCCTTGCGCCTCCCACTAGGAGCAGACGCAGCCCCGACCCCCTCAGCACCGAGGTAGTCGACAGCAGCAGCAGATGCAATGGAGGGGAGGAGGGGGACGGGGGGGCACCACTCAAAGAAGGGAGCGTGAGGGTTGCCGCGAGAGGCACCTACAGCTACAATGCTCTTCTCAGCTGCTAGGAGTTTCTTCTCGAGCAGGTTGATAGTGAGGTCGGTGGGGGAGAGGGCGAGAAAGTGGTCCCTTACGGTGCGAAGGGAGTCAGGGAGGCGGGTGACTAGGTGGTAGAGTGTGAGGTACATCGGGGGAGGGTTCTTGGCTAGGAAATCGGGGGGAAGCGCCGCACGGTAGCGGAGATCACTAGTACGGAAATAAGTGATGAGGTCAGCTACAGTGGCAAAGGCAGACAGATCGAGGAAGAGATAGGGCAGCGAGAGACGGCCTATCGCAGCAGTAGTAGGGGAGGAGTAGCGTGCAACTACAACATCGTACAGCTCCTTAGCGGTCTTATGCTGGCCAAAATGCTCGTGCTCATCGAACGGCAGGTGACTGCGAACGGCTAGGCGAGCATGAGCGTCACGGGTCTGCCACTGTGAGCGAGTAGCAGCAGGTGCGGGAGCGGTGCTGGACGTGTGGTCAAACAAGAAAACATCGTCCTTGGCAGTGATTTGGAGGAACAGGTGTAGGTCATCGAGCCAAACGTTAAACTTAATCGGACGGCCCTCAGCGTCAAAAGTGAGAACGGTAGGATTGGCCATAGTGGCAGTAGCAGTAGTAGGAACACTAGCAGCAGTAGCAGTAGTAGCAGTAGTAGTAACAGGAGCACCAGATGCTGCAGGTGGTGTACAATAGGGCGGCGCGGCTCGATCAGGGCGGCGCGGCTCAGTCACGGCGGCGCGACTCGAGCAGGACGGCGCGGCACGGCTCGAGCAGGGAGGGTGGGCCGGCGCGCTGTCTGCGGTTGTGCGGGGTGGCGGCCTACGTGCGGGCTGCAGCGTTCGCGGTGGCGGCGGCCTACGAGGGGGCGGCGGCCTACGAACGGGCGGCGGCCTACGGGCGCGAGGCAGCGGCGCGCGACGGTCGATGGGCAGCTCGCGGGCTGCGCTAGGGGCCGCGCGAGGCCAGGGTGGGCTGCGCGCAGGCAGCGTGGAGTGCGTGGGCGGCTAGGAAGGTCGCGCGCACGAAACAAAGGGCTGCGCGCGGGCGGTTAGCGGGCTACGCACTCGAAAAAGGGCCGCGCGCGGGCGGCTAGCGGGAGAAGCAGGGCGCACGAGGGCGCACTAGGAACGAGGCGCACGAGGGCGCTAGTGAGGGACGGCGCACGATTGCGCTTCTAGCGGAACGGTGGGCCCTTAGGAAAAGCAGTCCTAGGTTCCTAACCTAGGCTCGTAATACCATGTCAGAATGAGAGAAGTGATTGAACTAGGAAAAGGTTGGGTACAAGTAGGAAACTCTAAACTTACTGTACCCCATAGTAACTACCCCACTACAGCCTAAACAAACTGTAGCACGTATAACATTTGACAGCCTAAACTAACTGTGTTCGGTTCGGCAAAAGGCCATGTTCGTCAGGGGGCGAACACGAACATGTTCGAGTTCGCCCCCTGCTCATGCCTAGAGCAGGACAGGCACAGCTTCAGTACTTCTACCACGCACAAATCAGAGCACGAGTTGGCATGTCAAGTGGTATGGCAACAGGTGCAGCTGCATGTACTTGCGTTCGCTGATTGAGACCTTGCGGACCATGGATTCGCTGGATGCCTTTGTGTGTTTCTTTGTTCTTCACTTGCCCTCCCTTGCTACTTGAACCGTTCATCCCACGGTCCTTCTCTCATCCGAACCCAATGTCTGCTTTTGTGGACCCTTTGGAATCATTCCATGTGGTCATTCAGAGGTCAAGTTGGTTAGTCAGGGCCTATGATAGTCATTCAGAGGCCAAGTTGGTGACAAGCTGGGTAAGCTACAAGCTAGGTCACTCATAGATTAGGCCAGTCGGAGGCTGCAACAGTCCCAAGCTCGGCCAATCACCAGTAAGGTTAAGCACAAGCAAGAACAAACAGAAACCAGGTCACTCGTAGGCTAGGACAATGACAAGGTAGGTCAGTTAGATGCTAGGACACAAACAGGCGAATATAGGCGAAAATGAAAGTACTTTCATGAGGGGAGGAGGGGGGAGGGGAGGGGGGGGGGGGTGGGGGGGAGGTGGGTGGGTGGGGGGGGAGGGGGGGGGGAGAGAATGCAGATCAATGTTTCCATGACAAATAATGAACTCAACATCAGGTGTTCCTGGCGAGGCGAGTATCACTTGCCTCGCTGTGATCATTTTCTTATCCGTGACAAATAGGTAGGTTACTCGCCTTTTTGGACGAGTAAAGAGTAAAACTCGCGTTGCCTCGTTACTAAAACAAGTCGCTATTTGCTCATGCCTAGTCCCAGGCTAGGCCAAGCACAAGCAAGCCCGACACAAATTAGGTCAGTCATAGGTTAGCCTCGACAAATGTGGGGTCACTTGCAGTTAGGTCAGAGATCACCTAGTCATCAGCTTGGGGTCGCTCTGCCTTCGCACCCTGAAATCAAGCATAGACTGTTTCTAACTTGGGCACCTAGCGATTAGCTTTACGCTGTTTCTACTATGTTAGCATGGCTAAGAGATCCATTTCAAAGCGTGGTAATTCTTGACTGCGTAGTGACAGCGTGAGTGTTTGAACCAGGGCAACAAAACACACTAGGGAAACAATGAGAGCCTAAAATAAAGCCCAAGTCAGTCCGAGCCCGGGTCAATGAGAGCCCAGGTCAATGAGAGCCAAGGTCAATGAGAGCCCAGGTCAATGAGAGCCCGAGTCAATGAGAGCCCAGGTCAATGAGAGCCCGAGTCAATGAGAGCCCAGGTCAATGAGAGCCCAGGTCAATGAGAGCCCAGGTCAATGAGAGCCCAGGTCAACGAGAGCCCAGGTCAATGAGAGCCCAGGTCAACGAGAGCCCAGGTCAACGAGAGCCCAGGTCAATGAGAGCCCAGGTCAATGAGAGCCCAGGTCAATGAGAGCCCAGGTCAACGAGAGCCCAGGTCAACGAGAGCCCAGGTCAATGAGAGCCCAGGTCAATGAAAGCCCAGGTCAACGAAAGCCCAGGTCAATGAGAGCCCAGGTCAATGAGAGCCCAGGTCAATGAGAGCCCAGGTCAATGAAAGCCCAGGTCAATGAGAGCCCAGGTCAATGAAAGCCCACGTCAATGAGAGCCCAGGTCATTGAGAGCCCCTGGTCAATGAGAGCCCATGTCAGTGAGAGCCAAGGTCAATGAGAGCCCACGTTAGTGAGAGCCCAGGTCAGTGAGAGCCCAGGTCAGTGAGAGCATAATGGTATCATGGTTAATGAGCTTAGACGTAAAAAGGGCCGCAGGGTCCAGGCTAGGTCACAGCCTGAGTTCGGTCACATGCATCAGAAAAATGTAGAAGGCGTATTGTGTCGTAAACGCCTTCTTGTGCCTCGTTTGTGCTGTGGTTACCGTGGTTGACCCCCCCGGCAATAAACCACCAAGGGTATTGCCCTTTGTGTTTGGAAAACGGGGGGGTGTCGGAACCAGCATATATCCCCGATTGTTCCGCTACAGTGTCTGAGCGTGAACCGGGGTTGACTGGGTTTGGGCGGTAGTTTACGACAGTTGGCGAAAGGGGAAGGTTGAGTGGGAAACGAGCGCCAACCGCGGTCCACGTCACCCCCAATATCTGTCGAGTTGGTGGTAGTAAACGGGTGGGGAACCAGTAGTTGCGGGAGCAGGTAAGTCAGCTTGACTGCCTTTGGTAGCTCCTGCCTTCTTCCCCTGCTTGCCTTTCTGCCTACCGGACTTAGCGGCGCAGGGTTTTTTCTTAGGTGCAGGCACACCTGAGAGGGTGTTGGTACACTTCTTCTTGCCAGAGTTGCTAACAATGGTCTCACGGCGCTTGAGAGCGTGCTAGTAGAGGGCACGCTGGTTGTTGACGAGTTCGTCTACTTGAGCTTCTGTCATTTCTGCTGCAAATGGTGATGGAAGAGTGACCCCCTCCAGCTCCTCGCCAGCTCCCTGAACCCTTCTGGTCAGCCCATTGCCTGCCCGGTGATTTGTTCCTTCGACTTCCCCCATCTTAAACGACGATATATTGTCATATGTGGAAAAAACCGCTTCATATACCAGGTTTCATTCGAGTTTGGAGGCCTCAAAACTTGCACGAAAACGTTTCGACCGCCTATTGCTCATCGGGGGTGCGATTTCAGCAAAAACCAAAAAAAAAAAAAAAAAAAAAAAAAAAAAAACGCGCAACGACGTTTCGGAATCTGTTGATTGGTTGACTTGCGCGAGGTCGGCTGGCCACGCCACGTGCGGTGCGAGCATCTTGACACCTCCACGGTCCAGAGCCGTCAGATGATTATGACGGCGCACGATTCTGATGAGATGAAAGTACGATATTATCGCAACCGTCTGTGCGAATGCTGTCAGCTGGTTATGTCGAGACCGTCAGATGATCACGACAGCAGAAATGTGGCTCTCGATCGATCCACACCGTCGAGATGGAATCTTCACCTGTCAAGCACACCATCTGATAGGAAGTTTCGAGAGTGGGGCACCACAACTCAGCACAGAAATTGATCACGCAACCACGCAACCAGGTTCATTGCACGTGACGTAGCCACGCATACAAAGCCACGCGGCAACTACTCGAGGGTGACACCCCTAACCCTATCCAACACAAGAACAATTCTATGAACGTGGCTGGGATAGAGCGCTGGTTCGGCGCGGCGATTTCCCATCGGCCACTAAAAGGTGTGTTTTGCCAGCTGTTGGCATACGTGACGGGGCCACCGAAAGGTGTTTCCAACATAGTAATGCTATGTAATTTCCCTCCGATGGCGCGATGTACATTGTGTAACACACGCACGAATAGGCTGGTTAAATTATAATTATTCTGAGTAGTGCCCAGAACTTACATAATATTTGTACACTTTGGTTGCACCTTGAGTGTGTTTTTTGATATCATCTTTAGCAATTCGAGAATCATTGGACATATTTAAATGTAGGTAATCTACTAAATAAAGGTGTTAACCGATATATATGCGACATTAACACGACACATCAAGCTGCGAAAATAGTGTCCGGTATAAATTCCTTTTGTCGGAGGAAAAGATGGCTGGGAAATATAATATTTTAGGGA